CCCCCCGCCCCCTCGGCCTCGGATATGCCTGGATCGACGAATGATGCTTTTCCTCTTCACCCTCCACCCTCCCTCCCTCATCAACGTACTTCTCGTCCCTATATTTCTCTGTAATATATATAGTATTTTGCGTGTCGTGTTGCCACGCACGTGTGCGTTGGTCGCTGGTCGGCCGCTCGATGGATGTGGGTGGGATACGCTGGGTTACGTCGATTGGTTTGTACGATGTTCATATGATTGTTGAGCTTCGCGACCCTGAGGTCGTTCGAGATATCTCGCTGTGCGTAATATGAATCAAAAGACGACGGCTGACGAGACGGAGGATGGAAATAGAGAAAGAGAAGGAGAGCGGCGAAGGATCGAAATGGGTCGCCGCGATTGCGGAGCGGACTTGGGCCGGGCCGAGCGGCCACCAAACTAAACCAGACGCGAGCGCGGTCCGCTCGCTGGAACCACGCTCGTCTCTGGAAGGTCGATAGCTCGCGAAAGGAGAGGCCGGCCAGAGAGATAGACTGCTAGTTCACGCGGATCTCCGCCAGGTTGCACGTCGATACCGCACGATGGACTCTGGCACGGGGGGGGATCGCCTTTTTTTTCCCTTTTTTTTTTACCGCGAAGATATATGTACGTACATGTATACGTACAACGCGATTGCTCGCGGTAGCACGTGCGCGCGGAATGCAAACACGTCTGTCACGACAATCGAAAGTTATGCCGATTGTAGGACAATACTCTGGTAAAGAATGCTTCTTTTGCGAAGCACGCGCGTCGTGAGAGTAGTTTGTAAGAAATTAAAATTGCTCAGATATGCCGAAATGATGGAAATGAGTAAATCGAATGAGTAATTCGACAGAACCCTTTTGCCATGAATACTTATTATTCTAATTAGAATTACGACACAAAACGTAGCGATTTTAATTTTACATGTATACAGAGAAAGGTTTCCTCGATTCAAAGAAATGTTCCTTTGCTCTGAACGTCATTTCTTTGATTTGAACATTATTTTTTGGAGAGTTAAATAAAGTAATTTATTTGATTTTAACAAATTATGTTAAAATCAAAGAAATTTTTTTCTTTAACCGTATATAACATTTCTTTAAATCGATACATTTCTTTGAATTGAAAAAAACCTTTTTCTGGCCGCTTATGATTTTTGCGTATATATTTGATTTTCTATTGTAACATTTCGTCACTAAATTGAAGAGTTTAACGAGTGGCAGCTAAATTTTGGCAGAAATGGAATATTAAGGATACAGTTTTCGAGTTTTCGGAGTAGGTAGTATCCGAGCTGAACCAAAAGTCATAATGGCATCAAAATGGCTCCGAAATGATGATTAAAAGGCACTTTTTTTTCAGTCAGTTTGACATTATCGTGACCTGTTGTTCTGCTTAAGTAGTCATCATACGTTCATTATCGATCGCTCTTTCTGAGTCACGTAAAGACGTGATCATCGCTCTGTTCCAGCGGATGTCGCCAAGTCCAAATGGAAACACCTGCGCGACAACTTTCGAAACGAGCTGAAAAAGACCTACCGGGGTAAGTGCGACGGTATCGGCGGCACCGAGCACGACTCCAAATGGGTCTGGTTCAAGAGCCTATTCTTCCTGCGGGACCAAATGAACTCAAGGGTGATCGGCTGCGCTCTGTCACAAAACTGCGTTGGTGCGGTCGGGATGCGTTCCTCGCCGGATGGCACGCAGATCGAACCGCAGATCGACATTCTTGAGGGCCACGAGGAGACTCAGTTCGATGACTTGGACGGTGACTCTTGCCAGTCATTGCTGTCCAACGATGACGGCCTGCATCAGGTGATGCCGCCGCCAAAGATGAACAAGATAATCAGTCGGAAACGAGCGCTAATGGACGCGATCGAAAACGATTACGGCGTGGAAGTGGATCGAAAGCGATATGAATCACTGCAGAAGAGGCTGGCGATCGGTCCGGAGGACGAGGACGACACCTACCACTTCCTCATGAGCGTACGAAATCCCCTGAGAAGCCTGCCGCTCGATAGGCAGATGTTCGTTCGTCTCAAGATCCAGGAGTTGGTCTACAATGAAATCAACTCGCAAAATCAACAGCAGCAGCAGACCGCAGGTCGTGGAATCTACGACGCTTCCTCACAGGGCCAAGATGTGAAACCCCCGCGCGCCGGTAACGGCGGCAATGGCGTCGTTGGCGGCGACGTCGTCAGCGACATGGCGAATCCGGCGTCGTTGCTACAGAACTGCACGCCCGAGGGCTCCGGCGACGATGCCTTCTTCGGCTGACGAGAGCCCATTTGCTGTTTAATTCGCTAATAGGACGTAAGAATTATAATTTTAATAGAAAATAAACGATGGTATTTTTTCAGTAACCTCCGCACGAATCTTTTTTCTTTCCGCCTCCCTCGATATCCCATTATGATATCCCATTTCCAATTCCTTTTAATTCGTATACAGAAGTATACTTCAATTTGAATCTCTAGTCGTACAGTGAAATTTTTTTCGTCGATTTGAAAAGTTCACCGGAAATATCGCAAGAGAGTTTTTTAATTTTACATTACTCGTTATTTTTTTTAACGTAATTATTAGCGCGTTATTGGAGTGTCTCTGACATTACTACAATACATCTGAATTTTTATTGTTCTCTTTAATGATTTACGATTAAATAAAAATTAATAATATTCTATACATTCTTTAGATAAAAATTAATGCAAATTTTTTTTTTTAGTTATGACACAATTTGAGCTAAATATAACGTGTATAAATAACATTCATATATTTTTAACGAATTTATAAGACTGGAGTGCCTTGAATGAACTCCACACGAGTAATGAAGGGTTAGAAATAATGCTCTACATACTAAGGGAAAGGAATTGTTCCTCAATAGATGCAAGTATTGCGTTTAATATCACGTTGAGATAATTAAAGGAAAGTTTTATAATTTACCATACCCATCGAAATTTCCACAAACGAGTACGCAGGCATGTTTATAAAAGTGAATAAACATCGCTCGACGTGCATATTTTCACGTCGCGAGAATGATACTTAAAATATCCTCAACCTTTGTCGTCGGCTGGGTAAGCTTTTTAATTAATGAAGCACCAGCCGCCGGTACAATTAGTGTTATTAGCGCCGCGTGGCTCACCTATCTACGTCACAGATAGAAACCTAATTATACTCTGCCGTGATAATTGATTTCTCGGTTCGCGTATTGCCACATTTTTTATTCTTCGTGATTAAAAGACGGGTGTCAGAGCATCTCACGCTATATTGACACTGATCCAGCTCAACACACGCAGTGATCAGACTAAGAGAATGCAATGTGAGAGGATACGATGCTCTAATCGAGGGAAAGCAATCTGGGAGGGTGCGAAATTGACCAAATTTATCAATGTCGATACATATCATGTTCGTTTACTCTTTATTTTTCCAAATAGTCGGGCGTGAGTATACAGTGATATAATTTTCTTCCGCACTTAAATAATAGTAAATGTAAGGTATTTTAATCTCAAATCGATTAGAAGTTTGAGATTTTCGTTTCCAGCAATAGCAGCGAGAGCAACCAATCTTATTGCAGAATTATATTATACTTAATACTATTTTAATTTTTACATTATTAAATAGAATTATGTTGTATTATTATAAATTGTAATATTATTGCACAGAATTATTGCATATTATATATTTTAAATCATTATATTATTAAACAGAATTATTTTATGTTATTATAAATTATTATGATTACAGAATTATTTTATATTATTATGAATTATTTAATATTATTATAAACTTTTTTAAAGTATTTGTGGCATATATTGTGGTTAATAAGTCATAATTATAAGATATAATTTAATAAGTGATTTTCACGTTAGCACGTATAAGGATATATTTATTAATAAAATAAATAAATAATACATTATATAATATTTAGAGGCAACGTGTTAACCTATTTAAGCCAGAGATTAGCTTCGTCACGTTGTGCAAGTCTTCCCTTTTCATGAATTCTAGCTGTTTCGACGAGTTTTCTGAAACCAACTAATGAGGTACGGAACATGAATAGAGGTATCACACCTGCGTCATTATGATACTTCTCGAGGATTGTAAAATCGCTAATAGCGCTGAAAAGACCATATTTCTCTCGCAAATCTCTACTTGCTAAATTAAACGCTTTTTTGCGCGGATTTTTGAATAATTAAAACTGAAATTAACGTTTTTAAAATCTCAATACGAATTCTATATGAATTATTTTCAATGTGCTTTGATAAAAATTATATTTTTTGTTTAATATTGAAATAAAAGATATTCCGTTTTTTATGAAATGATATATGACAATACACGACAGAATTATTATAACTAGACTTTTTATATTTCGATAAGAAATTTATTTAAACAGACTGATCATGTTTTTTTTTTAAAATAACGTTGGTGGATACGTTTTAAAAATTAATGGTACACTATTTTTTATGATATATTTTTTCGCTACGCTCGAGAGAGAACTGATGTGGGTAAAATACGAGGGCGTGTAGACACGATTACTCCACCCTATGCGTTACAAGTGTAATAGAAAAACAGAGTTATTCTGCTCGGGCTGTGTTGATGGGTGGACATCGATCATTTAATGGTCACGAGTGCTGGGACAGCCCATATCAATCATATTTTCAAAAAAAAACTCACTGTCACAACGATGATTAAGTTTAATAGGAGATAGCGTTGTTTTATATATATACTAAAACTGTACATATATATTATAATTTTTTAAAAATTTTAATGAGAAACAATACAAATAAAAATGTGTAGTAGAAATTATGAAGAAGATATTTTTTAAATGCTCTAATTTTAAAAA